TGATTCTGCGTGCGAGTCAATCTACGTGCACACACGTCGACGCCTACGTCGGCACGCTCCTCCCGAGGATCGCGCCTGCTTCCTTCCCGTTCTTTTTCTTTTTCTTTGCCCGTGCGCGCCCATGTCCGAGGCTGCGGGCGCGGCGCCGCACGGAGTCCTCGCGACGCACGCCGGTCGCCCCGAAGGGGTCCCGGCGACGCGCACGGGTCGTCCGTTGCGCGGGGCAGAGAAAGCTAGCTGGCTGGCTGATAGCGGGCATGGCTGTGGACGCTGGGCAGAGACGACGACGGGGGCGAGCGAGTTTTCGGGCAGAGCGCAGCGCGGAATTCCCGCGACGCGCGCTGGTCGCCTCGAGAGGGTCCCAGTGACGCGCGCGGGTTGCCTGCGGCGCGAAACGAAACAGTCAGACCGTCGAGAGACGGCGAGACTCGGGCGGGTGGTTTTTCAAGTCAAGGTTCGCGGAAACATTCGGTGAAACCCAGCTCCGGCGAGGGTCGTCGCCTCCCTCCTGCGCCGCTCCGTGCGCGTAGCAATTTGCCCCAGCTGCTTCCGCAATCCTTCCGGCGGCCTTGCCGGGATGAATTCGTTGCGCGGCGCCCGCGTGAGCAGGAGGTCCTCGTGGCGTGTGGCGCGCAAGAGCAGCGCGTAGAGCTCCGGACACCAGTCGTCGTCCTCCTCCTCGCCGTTCCCCACCTCGTGGCGGCCGCAGTCGAGGATCGCGCCTGGGCGACGTCGGCTGAGGGAGCAGCGCGCCGGACAGCCGACGGCCCAGCGCGAGAGTCCACGAGACCGAGAGACGGCCTCCAAATGTGTGAGGGGCCACGAAACATGTGAGGGGTGAACCAAAATAGGGCGGCTCCGCCATGCGGACTGCGCCACTGGGACTTCAGATGGAGCTCCCTATGGGGCCACACCGCGTGTGAGGGGTGCGCCAAAATGGGGCGGCGCCGCCGTGCGGGCTGCGCCACTGGGGCCCTAGATGTGGCTCCCTATGGGGCCGCGAAGCGTGTGAGGGGTGTGCCAAAATGGGGCGGCGCCGCCATGCGGGCTGCGCCGCAGTGACCTGAGGTGGAACTCCGTATGAGACCACGAGACGTGTGATGGGTGTGCCAAAATGGAGCGGCGGCGCCATGCGGGCTGCGCCACTGGGGCCTTAGATGGAACTCCTTATGGGGCCACGAAGCGTGCGAGGGGTGTACCAAAATGGGGCGGCGCCGCCGTGCTGGCTGCGCCACTGGGACCTTTGGTGGGGTTCCCTATGGGGTTGCGAAATATGTGACGGGTGTGCCAAAATGGGGCGGCGCCGCCATGCGGGCTGCACCAGTGGGACCTTAGGTGGAGTTCCTTGTGGGGCCACGAAACGAGTGAGGGGTGCGCCGAAACAGGGACATGCGCAAAGCAGGGGCAAGGAGGGGAAGGAGGGAGGAGGAGGAGGAGGAGGAGGAGGAGGAGGAGGAAGAGGAGGAGGAGGAGGAGGAGGAGGAGGAGGAAGGAAAAGGGGAGGAGGAGGAGGGAGGAAGAGGAGGAGGAGGAGGAGGAGGAGGAGGAGGAGAGGAGTAGGAGTAGGAGGAGGAGGAGGAGGAGGAGGAGGAGGAGGAGGAAGAAGAAGAGGAGGAGGAGGAGGAGGAGGAGGAAAAAGGAAGGAATATGAAAACGCGGGGCACCGTCTCTTCAAAACGAGGACCCAACACCACAGGATGGTTGGGACAAGTGCAACAACATCGATTTGATAATTGCTGTTTTAACATCGTCTTGGGATCGCCCTTGAAAAAGGCTTCCAGGCGGCCCAAACCAGGCTTCTAAACATGACGATTTCGTTAGGGACATCTTCAACGGTATGTATGTGACATCGCATTGTCATTTGTTGTTTGGTTGCGTCGATGCAGCCGCAAACGAACCCCATACAAGGCCCAGTATGACCCCAAAGGCGCCCTCGATATTCCTCAAATTTAGCATTGCACTCGCGACATCCTCGCCAAAACGAATTGTTCGCATCACCGTATTTCACAAGTACTCACTGCGTGGAGCTCCCCATATGTGCATTTCATGTTTTATTTTATGCCGTAGTGAATGTCTGTTCATGAGTGTCTGACTATAAGAGCGCGCCCATGTGGGCCGCAGGCCCGGCGAAGACAAGCGAACTTTCATGCCAGCGAGTGGGTACGAGTCATATTGAGCTTGAGTATGATTGAATATGAGCCTCTTCCTCGTCATTCCTCCTCCTCAGCTGCCAGGCCATGCCCTCCTCAGCCCGCGGTTGCTTCGGATCCTTCGAATGTGTGTGTATATGTTTTAGGAGAGTTGGCAGTGGGATATGTACACCGATAGTTTAGCCACATAAGGCCATTATCTGCCGTGTGCTGAGCAACTCAGACTATGAGAAGGTTTGAGTCGGTCTGAATATGAGTAAGTATGTGTATGGGTACGTGTGGGTATGAGTAAGTCTGAGTATGAGTAAGTCTGTGTATGAGTAAGTCTGTGTATGTGTACGTCTGGGTGCGAGTAAATCTGAAACCAGCGCCCCGACTGACACATCCTCCAAATCTGCTGTAATCGCAGACGATGTTGGGCACCGAAACAGGCAAACCACCTGAGACATCCCCACAAACCGGCTGCGCACAGGCCCGTGATATACCCCTCTGGCGGCTCCCCTTACGAGTGCTGAAACCACCGCCCCGATTGTGACATCCTCGAAATCTGCTGTAATCGCAGACGGTGTTGGGCACCGAAGCAGGCAAACCGCCTGAGACATCCCCACAGACTGGCCGCGAACGGGCCCGTGATATACCCTTCTGGCGGCTCCCCTTCGGAGTGCTGACATCAGCGCCCCGCCTGAGACATCCTTTAAATCTGCTGTAGGCGCAGATGATGTTTGGGCACCGAAACAGGCAAACCGCCTGAGACGTCCCCACAGACTGGCCGCGAACGGGCCCGTGATATACCCTTCTGGCGGCTCCCCTTAGGAGTGCTGACATCAGCGCCCCGCTTGAGACATCCTTTAAATCTGCTGTAGGCGCAGATGATGTTTGGGCACCGAAGCAGGCAAACCGCCTGAGACATCCCCACAGACTGGCCGCGAACGGGCCCGTGATATACCCTTCTGGCGGTCCCCTTGGGAGTGCTGACATCAGCGCCCCGCCTGAGACATCCTTTAAATCTGCTGTAGGCGCAGATGATGTTTGGGCACCGAAACAGGCAAACCGCCTGAGACATCCCCACAGACTGGCCGCGAACGGGCCCGTGATATACCCTTCTGGCGGTCCCCTTGGGAGTGCTGACATCAGCGCCCCGCCTGAGACATCCTTTAAATCTGCTGTAGGCGCAGATGATGTTTGGGCACCGAAACAGGCAAACCGCCTGAGACATCCCCACAGACTGGCCGCGAACGGGCCCGTGATATACCCTTCTGGCGGTCCCCTTGGGAGTGCTGACATCAGCGCCCCGCCTGAGACATCCTTTAAATCTGCTGTAGGCGCAGATGATGTTTGGGCACCGAAACAGGCAAACCGCCTGAGACATCCCCACAGACTGGCCGCGAACGGGCCCGTGATATACCCTTCTGGCGGTCCCCTTGGGAGTGCTGACATCAGCGCCCCGCCTGAGACATCCTTTAAATCTGCTGTAGGCGCAGATGATGTTTGGGCACCGAAACAGGCAAACCGCCTGAGACATCCCCACAGACTGGCCGCGAACGGGCCCGTGGTATACCCTTCTGGCGGCTCCCCTTAGGAGTGCTGACATCAGCGCCCCGCCTGAGACATCCTCATAACCTGTCGTGTGTTGAGTAACTCAGGCTATGCGAAGGTCTGAGTATGTGTAGGTCTGAGTATGAGTAAGTCTGTGTATGAGTACGTCTGGGCATGAGTAGGTCTGAGTATGAGTAGGTCTGTGTACGGGTAAGTCCGTGTGTGTACGTCTGGGTGCGAGTAAATCTGAAACCAGCGCCCCGACTGACACATCCTCCAACTCTGCTGTAATCGCAGACGATGTTGGGCACCGACACAGGCAAAACGCCTGAGACATCCCCACAAACTGGACGCGAACGGGCCAGTGATATACCCCCTGGCGGCTCCCCTTATGAGTGCTGGAGCCACCGCCCCGACTGTGATATCCTCGAAATCTGCTGTAATCGCATACGATGCCTGGCACCGAAACAGGCAAAACGCCTGAGACATCCCCACAAGCTGGCCGCGAACGGGCCCGTGATATACCCACTGGCGGCTTCCCTTAGGAGTACTGAAACCAGCGCCCCGCCTGAGTCATCCTTTAAATCTGCTGTAGGCGCAGATGATGTTTGGGCACCGAAGCAGGCAAACCGTCTGAGACATCCCCACAAACTTGCCGCGAACGGGCCCGTGATATACCCCCTGGCGGCTCCCCTTAGGGGTGTTGAAGCCAGCGCCCCCGCCTGAGACATCCTCAACATCTGTCGTGTGTTGAGTAAGTTTGTGTATGAGTACGTCTGGGTATGAGTAAACATGAGTATGAGTAAGTCTGTGTATGTGTACGCCTGAATATGAGTACATCTGAGTATCGGTAGGTCTGAGTATGAGTAAGTCTGTGTATGAGTACGTCTTGGTATGAGTAAGTCTGAGTATGAGTAAGTCTGTGCATGAGTAGTCTGTGTTCTGGGTCTGTTCTTGTTCTCTGGAGTCGGCGGCGTTCGAGAAGTAACAAGAACCCCATCTTAGGATATGGGGGACACAAGCATGTCGCCTGAGAAATCCACCAGCAGATGAACACCGCGAGTTTGACAAACGTATGGAAAGTGGCTCAAAAGGCAGATGTAAGATCATGCGTGTTAACACTTAGCTTGTCGCCTGAGGCATCTTTAGAACATTATCATGGGCACGGCAGCCCAACACGCAGAAACACGGCAGAACGCGCAGGAACACGGCAAAACACGCAGAAGCATGGCAGAACACACAGGAGCAAATCCGTAGCTCAAGCTGGCTTCGGGCGCTGGGCGGGCTGCGAGCCCCCCCGCTGCGGCTCGGGCGATGGCGACGGTCCGTCCCCTCGATGGGGAAGCGGTGGCGCTGCTCGCCCCGCTCGTGAAGGCGGCTGCGGCGGGCGCGGCCGAAGGCGGAGGCGGGCGGCAACAGGTCGCCGCCGCTGTCGCCTCGGCCCTGCGCGCGGGTGCCGCGCTGCTCGCCCCGTGCCCGGCCTCCGAAGTTGAGGAGGGGGTGGCGGTGCGCGAGCAGCTTGGGAGGGCCCACCTGACGGAGATGGTCAAGGCTGGCCGCGCGGGCGTGCAGCCGCGGCCGTCGGGGGCCAGCCGCGCCTTCCGCGGCTGGGCCCAGCACGCCGAGTTCGGCGGAGGGCCCCATGATGTGCCTGCCAAGGCGCGCGATGCCAGGCGCCGCGGGAGGGGCCGTCGGCGCGGTGCTGGCGACGCTGAGTCGGCGGGGGCGGCGGACACTGCGACCACTGACGACCTGGAGGCAGTGAAGGGGCAGCTCGAGGAGGGTCGGGAGGTGAAGGTCCCGTTGAAGCCGGTGGAGAAGAAGAAGAAGAAGGTGGATATGAAGACGCTGGTCTTTAAGTGCGCCCCTGGTGACAAGGCCACCGACGATGTGAAGGTGGTGGTATCGGCCATGGGTGAGTTGGCCCTGGTGAGCACTCGGCTCAACAACGGGGAGACCAAGATCGGCCCCGAGAAGCTCAAGGGCGCGAGTGCCCCCAAGGTGACGGCCCAGCTGGTCACGGATTGCCGCAAGATGGAGTGCAGCCACATGGACGATGGCGCTTACGATGGCGTCGCGGTCAAGGTCGGCGACGACGACGTGTTCGCGGAGTGCAGCGTTGTGAGCCTCTCTGTCGATCCCGTCAAGGGCAAGGGCAGGCGTCTCGAGGCCGATGCCCTTGGAGGTCGTGCGCAGGAGCGGCTGGCCGCGGCCGTGGCGGCCCAGGCGGCAATCCTGAGCGGCGATCTGGCCGAGAGGCTGCGGCTTCTCGAGGCCGAATGAGTGAGTGGGTGAGTGAGTCAGGCGTGCGTTTGCATTCTTTCCGTAGATCTGTCTCGCCTCGGAGGGGGGGTTGGGCGTCTGAGGGGGTGGCCCTTCCGCCTGCCCAGGCCCGCTGGAGCCGCCCCGTTTTGGTTTCGTAGGGATTTCCCCCTTTGCCTTGAAGGCCCCCGTCTTTAACCTTTAACCTTTAACGCGCAGGAGCGCGGCAAAACCCAAATAATTATGGGAGCACGGCAGAACAAACAGGAGCACGGCAGAGCGCGCAGGAGCACGAGGGGCACGGCAGGACATATTGCATAGGAGCTCGGCAAAACACACAGGGGCACGGCAGAACACGCAGGTGCACGGCAGAACGCACAGAACACATAACATACAGGAACACGGCAGAACACACAGGAGCACTGCAAAACACACAGGAGCACGGCAGAACACAGGAGCAAGAGGAGCACGGGAGAGCACGGCACAACAAGCGGGAGCACGGCAGAACACACACAGAACACATAGGAGCTCGGCAGAACAAGCAGGAGCGCGGCAGAACACACAGGAGCACTGCAGTACACATAGGAGCATGGCAGAACACATGGGTGCACGGCAGAACTGACGGTAGAACACGCAGAAGCACGGCAGAACACACTGGGGCACATGTGCGCCTTGAAGGCCCCGTCTTAAAAGTTTTAAACACACAGGAGCACGGAAGAATACGCAGGATCGTGAGGAGCATGGCCGAACATACAGAGTACATAGGAGCGCGGCAGAACACGCAAGAGCACGGCAGACCACACATGAGCGCGGCAGATTACAACACATATATGAGCACGGCAGAACACACAGGGGCTCGGCAGAACACGCAGGAGCAATCCGTAGCCATTTTGGCTCAAGCCATTCGGCAGGAGTCTGGCGCGGCGGGCCGCCCCTCGGGCGGCGCAGCCTCGTGGAGGCTAGGCGCGCGGCGCGCGCGGCATGGCTCCCTCAGCGGCGCTGATGGAGCTGCTCGCGGGCTGCCCCGTGGCCGCTGGCGCCTTCGGCGCTGCCGCCGCGGCGATCCAGGCGGGGGGCGCGGCGAAGCACCATGCCGCCCTCGTCGCCGCCGCGGCGCGCGGAGCGGTGCAGGCGGGGAGCTGCGCGACCGCGGTGGAGCTGGGCGACGGCGCCAGCGGCGCGTGCGCGCTCCTCAAGGACATGGAGGAGGTCCTCCTGGCAGTGGAAAGACTGCAGGCCGCAGCGACGAGCCTGGCGTCTCTGAGGCCAAGCGCTTGCTGCGGGATCGCGGGCCGCCGGGGGCCCGCCTGGCTGCTCGGCTCGGCCGGCTGAGCAAGGCCAGGAACGTGGCCGGACACCCCGACGTCGCCCTGGCCGCGGACATCCTGGGCGTCTTCGAGGCTGCGCGCAGTAGCGACGGCGGGGGTGGCTCCTCCTCGGATGGCGGCGGCGCCCCCCCTTCGGGATCGGATGGGGGGGCAAGGCCCGAAGTGCGTCCAGGCCCTCGGAGCCGATGCGGAGTCCGAAGGGGTCATTGGTGCTGGTTCGGGACTGGCTGCGAAGCGCGGCGAGCAGGAGGGCGGGCCCAAGCAGTACAACGCCGAGCAGCACGACTGCATCGAGCAGCGGGGCGGCGTGCGCGGAGGGATGGGCGTGCAGGGCTCGGCCGATTTCTTCGACATCGGGAGCGTGGGCGATCCCTCCGAGGGCCTGCCTTTCGTCGAGGAGCCCGAGGTCGAGTCCCAGGAGGGCGCGAAGTCCGTGGAGGTCGACCTGGCCGCGCACGGTGGCCCCCGGAGTGCGACCGCTGCCATGGGTGCGACGGCAGCGATGGAGGCGGAGCAGGCCAAGCGCGGCTCGAGCGCGCTCGTGGTGGAGTCGACCGTGGGCGCAGTGCAGGCACAGGCGGCGGCCGAGGCGCTCGGCGCCGCCATGCTGGCGAGAGATGCCCTCCAGCGCGGCGACATCGCCGAGGGCCTTCGGCTGCTGGAGGCGGCACGGGCGAAACACTCGGAGAGCGTGCCCAGGCGCCCTGGCGAGTGCTCGGAGTGAGGTTCCTCCTTCCCCTGACCATGTATAGGTTCTGTTCTTGTGCGCAGTGCTTGCATGGTTCTGGAGTTGCGAGTCGAATGGGATCTTGTGTAGTATCTGTTGTGATCTTGTGTAGTATTTGCTCTTGTCAGTGCTGCACTTGATGGTTGTCTTGTGTAGTATATGCCAGAGGCTTCGCCTTTCTGTCTGTGCTGCGCTTGTCTGGGAGGGGCCCAACGCGGCCTCCTCGGGAGGGGCGGCCCTTCCGCGGCCCCCATCGGTTTTTGTTTTCCCGCCTTTGAGGCCCCACCAACCAACCAACCAACGCGCAGGAGCACGGCAGAGCACGCGGGAGCACAGCAGAACACATAGGAGCACGGCAGAGCACGACCATGGCAGAAAACACAGGAGCACGGCAGAACACACAGGAGCACGGCAGAACACGCAGGAGCACGGCAGAACACATATCATATTTCCGTAGCCATTTTGGCTCAAGGCCATGGAGCACCCGACGACCGCGAGTCGTCCGCGGCGTTCTGAGCGCGAGGGGCTCCTCGCTTTGGGCCAGTGCATTCTGTTGTTCTGCTCCTGGCTTTCACAGCGCGGAGGCGCGACCGCTCGGCCCGCGCGCCGTGGGCCATGGCGCGCTCCTCGCGTGGCGGCAGCAGTGGCAAGCGCAGCAGGCCGTGCTGGATGTGCAGCTGCGGAGGTTGGAACTGGGACTGGCGAGCCTCTTGCCTCAGCTGTGGGCGCGCAGCGCCGCCCTGGGCCCTGGGGTCAGCCCCCGCCGCGGGGGGGCCCAAGGCCGACGAGGGCGGCTGGGTGGACCAGCCGAGGGGGCGCAAAGCCCAGCGGCAGGCCCGCAGCGCTGCCTCGCGAGCGGCATCCGCCAAGTCGCAGACCTCGGCTTCTGCGGCCAGCGGGGCGCCGAGTTGCGGTGGGGTCACAGCGATCGAGAGGCTGCAGGCGACGGTCGAGCAGCTGGAGGCGCCGCAGGCTGTGCCGCCCGAGGGCGTGGACGGCAGCTTCGCCGGCGTCGAGGCCAGCCAGCTGGAGTCGAAGCGGGCAGAGCTGGCCAGGGCCCAGCAGGCAGCAGCGGAGCAGAAGGCCGCCACCATGCCGCGGTCGACGCTGCTGCGCAAGGAGGCCAACGCCATCAGCAAGTCGGAGAAGCGGCTCCGCGCAGCCCGCCAGGACCTGGAGCAGAAGCAGGTGGCGCGCGACCTCGCGGAGGCCCAGCTCCAGAAGGCCCAGGAGGAGCTCGCGGAGCGGGACGGCGCGCTGGAGGAGGCCAGCAGGGCGCTCCAGGTCCTCGAGGAAGCCGCCCGTGAGGAGGCGGAGGCGCGGGAGCGCCAGCGGGCCGCCGAGTGGGCAGGAGCCAGCCAGGTCCCAGGGCTCCTCACGCAGCTGGACAAGCTGCCTGAGGCCTGGGCCTCCAGCAACTTCGAGGTCGCGCGGGCAGCCATCCGCGCCCCGGTGGAGGCGGTGCGAGCGCAGCTCGCGGGCCCCACCCTGGCCCCCACGCAAGCGCCGCGGGCAGAGTCCTGCCCCGTGGACGAGATCAGCAGCGACGACGGCAACGACGGCAACCTCGCAGGCAGCAGCGGCCCATGGCAGCCCCAGGCCGCAGCGGAGCGCGGCCGAGCCGAGCGGCATGGCAACGCGCTCGGCGAGTGGCCGCAGGTGGCGCAGGCCTGCAAGTGGGAGCTGGCAGCCGAGGCTTCAGACTTGGCCCCTTTGGCTGCTCGCCCTGCTGGCCGCGCAGCTGGGGGCAGGGGCGGAGGAGGCCCGCCAGTGCAGGAGAAGGCCCAGTGAGGCCAGCGCTGCGGGGCCACGCCAGCTGGGCGGTAGCAGCGCCGAGGTGGCCCGCCTGCGCGGCGCCCTGGGGCCCAAAGACGTCGACCTCGGTTTCTTCGCAGCCTTCGGCGGCATCGAGCTCTCCGCGGGCATGCCCCGGCTGGCGCAGTGCGACTTCAACATGGAGCCAGGCAAGCTGCACGAGTTGGGAGGGGCTAGAGTGCAGCGAGGTACGTACCTGGGGCTCTCCGATTTCACGAGCGCAGGCCAAGGGGCCGGGCATGTGTACGACTGGTTTGCGGGCCCCTTCGGTCGGGCCCAGGGGGCCAGTGAGGCCTCTGCGCTGGATGGCCTTGGGCCTTACCCCCACAAGCCTGCAAGGCTGTGGCTGCAGGACGCGGGGCCAGAGGCCTTGAGGCAGATGCTGGTCCGCCCAGGTCGTTTCCCTGATGTCGACGCCGTGGCTCGCCGACCCCGCGGAGTTTGAGCTGTCCAGGTGCCCGGCCGTGTGGGGCGCACTCGCAGGCAGGTGGGGCCCTGCCGTTGGCCCTGGGAGGTGCGCTCCCACCCGAGCCCCCCCCATGGGGCTGCTTGCCAGAGGATCCTGGTTGTCGAGAGCACCTTGGCGGGGATCCACTGCGTCGACGACGGCGCCCTACGCTGGTACATGGGGCGGGCCGAGGGGCCCATGGCGGTCCTCATGCCCCTCGGCGCGGGAGTCAAGCACGAGCGCCGCCACCGACGCTCGGCCCCCGCCCACGCCATGCGCCAGGCCCTCGGTGTGGTGCTGCAGAGGCTCACAGCTGACAGAAGGCGGCGCTGGCAGCCCTTGCACGGGGCTCGGTATTTGTGGCAGGTGGTGCTTTGGCCAGACGATGTGGAGGCAGCCACCACAGCAGCCTGTGAGGAGGACGTGCTCGGGGCCCTCGAGTGCGGCACTAGCGAGTGGAGCGACCTCGTCGGCCAAGTGGGAGTTCTTGAGCCTCTCGAGGCAGCGGCAGTGATGACGGACCTGCTGCAGTCAGCCGAGCTGCCGAGCAGGGTGTGTGTTGGGGAGTTGGAGGCGGCAGCAGCCAGGCGCGCTAGTGGCGCCGCTGGGGGGCGCTGTGCCTCGCCCACCGTCGCAGTGGTGCAGACCCTGGAGCAGGTCGGCTGGTGCCTCGAGTCGGAGCGGTGCAAGGTCGCGGACGCCGGTGGCGAGCTCGAGCCCATGTTCCTCGGGCCTCAGGCGCTGTGCGCAATGGGGGGGTATGATGCTCGGCAGGCCTCCAACGGCCATGAGAAGCGGAAGCCCAGCTGCGACCCCCTCCTGCTTCGGCCGTCTTTCGGGAACGCCATCGGGCGGCTGCTCGGACGACCAGGCATCCAGCTGGGCGTGAGGGAGCAGCACGTGCGTGGTGCCTACTTCTCCAGCATAGAGGAACGGTGCCCAGGCGACAAGACGTGCAAGGCGGGCATGAACCAGCGCAGCCTGTGGGAGCGAGGGCTCCATCCTGGAGGCAGGCCACGAGCGAATAAGCAGAGAGTAAAGGGAGAGGGCATCCCCGCTCTGCTTTCGCAAGGGCCAGTGCCATGGCACGCCCAGGAGCGCTGCCTGGTGTGGCTCGGCATGAAGGCGGAGTCTGCAGGCGGTGCCTCGACTGCAGCCAGCAGCCCAGGCCGCGGCCCAGCTGCTCCCGCGGCAGCGCTGGCGGCGGAGGAGGCGGCTGCCAGCATGCCCCTGCAGCAGCCAGCCTCGAAGGGAGGTGAGCGTCTCGGCATGCACGGGGACACCGAGGAGGGGCTTGCCGCCGCGAGCTGCACGGCGAGCGGCGGCCTGGTGAGCCGCAGGGTCAGCCGCCGTCTGGCGCGCCGCGGCCCGCAGTCCATGAGTGAGTGAAGAAGAAGCATCGGCTCGTCTCGTGTGTTGCTCCCTGTGGTGAGTAGGCACGCGTGGCACGCTCTGCTTTGGACTCGGCTTCTCTCGGGAAAGGTTGTCCCGTCTGGCCCTGTCCGCGTTCTGGTTGTTTTTTCCTTGTGCCTTGAAGGCCCCGTCTTTAACTTTAACTTTAACTTTAACACAAATCATATTTCTGTTGCAATTTTGGCTCAAGGCCATGGAGAACCCGACGACCGCGAGTCGTTTGCGGCGCTCTGAGCGCGAAGGTCTCCTCGCTTTGGACCAGTGCACTTCGAGTTTGTGCTTCCTGCTTTCGCGGCGCGAAGGCGCGGCCCCTCGGCCAGCTCTGCAGTGGCCGTGGCGAGGCCCCCACGCGGCGGCGGCAGCAGCAGGCGCGGCAAGTCCTATTGGATGTGCAGCTGCGGAGGATGGAACTGGGACTGGCGCGCCTCGTGCCTTGGCTGTGGGCGCGCGGCTCCGCCCTGGGCGCTGGGAATGTCCCCCGCCAAGGCGAGGCCCAATGCAGACGAGGACGGATGGGTGGAGCAGCCGCGTGGGCGCCGTGCCCAGAGGCAGGCCCGCAGTGCGGCCTCGCGGGAGGCCTCCGCCAAGTCGCAGACCTCGGCGTCGGCAGCGAGTGGGGCGCCCAGCGGTGGAGGCGCCACGGCGATCGAGAGGCTCCAGGCGGCCGTCGAGCAGCTCGAGGCGCTGCAGGCCGAGCCACCTGACAACGTGGACGGCTGCTTCACCGACGTCGTGGCCAGCCAGCTGGAGGCGAAGCGCGCCGAGCTGGTCAGGGCCCGGAAGGCGGCAGCAGAGCAGAAGGCCTCCTCCCTGCCACGGGCAGCGCAGCTCCACAGGGAGGCGAACGCCATCAGCAAAGGTGAGAATCGGCTCCGCGCAGCCCGCCAGGAGCTCGAGCAGGAGCAGGCGGCGCGTGGCCTCGTCGAGGCCCAGCTCCAGAAGGCCCAGGAGGAGCTTGCGGAGCTCGACGCGGAGGTTGAGGAGGCGAGCCGCGCGCTCCAGGTGCTTTGCGAGGCAGCCCGCGAGGAGGCCGAGGCGCTGCGCCGCCAGCGCGCTGCCGAGTGGGCAGGAGCCAGCCAGGTGCCAGGGCTCCTCATGCAGCTGGAGAAGTTGCCCGAGGCCTGGGGCTCCAGCAACTTCGAGGTGGCCTGGGCAGCCATCCGCGCCCAGATGGAGGCTGTGCGGGCGCAGTTCGCGGGGGCCCCTGTGGCCCCCAAGCGTGCGCCGTGGGCTGAGTCCTGCCCCGTGGAGGAGATCAGCAGCGACGAGGGCGATCTCGCAGGTAGCGGTAGCTCCTGGCAGCCGCAGCCGGCAGCAGAGC